GAAAACTAAAGTACCAAGAATAAAATATGAATATACATTCAAGCTAACATATGAGAAAACTTTAGTTGGTAGAATTTGTGCATTTAGAGTGCCAGGGAGAAAATGAACATTTAAAGCAAAGTAGATGTATGTTCTTCCTTTTGGAAACTAACATTATTTTTGGCTGTATTAAGAATATTCATTTTTATATATATCTGGTGGGTAAGAAGTTTTATTATTATTATTAATCATTATCATTAATAATATCCTTGACTGAAATATTTCTTATACTGTGTGCATTGTAATGCACCACAAACAACAAATGATTGTTTGAAATGCTGAGGACTAGACCGATGTGTTTGAAACAGTTATGTCTCTTTGTAAAGCACGCTTGTGTCCTTTCTTTTGTAGAAATATCCATCTACTTACCTGACTGGTGGGGAGTATTATAGTCTTTAATGTGACAAAAACAATGATGTTTAGTGCTGAAATTCTATGGGAATGTTGTAGTCCTTTCTAAACTGTAGTTCAATATACAAACTGAAAACTACTGATTTCGAATCTTCATTTTGATATCAGAAATCAGAAAAAAGGGAAGGAAAGTAATATTGAGCACCTATTCTAGACCTATTATAGATATTATTAAATGTTATCAAAACAATTAAATAAGGAGGTCACTATCAGTCACATTGCATGAGATAACGCTATATCACTTCACAGGTAGTGTTAGTACCTTATAATAACAAAATAATCCTAATCCCTTCATCCTTATCTCTATTATTACTACTTTCATTTATATATAAACATACATAAGCATATATATTATATATACACATCAGCATATATAATTGAATGTATTGTTACTATTAAACAAAATGTTATCTGTTAGATCAATTATAATATGAAAAATAAATGTTTTAATTTTACATTTAGTTATTTCTTCTTGACACTCTTCCCTTCTTTATATAAATCTGAGTTCCTGACCTATATTATTTTCCTCCTCACTGGAAAAATTCAAGTTTTCTTGCAGGCCAGTCTATAGACAACAATTATCTCAACATTTGTTTTCATGAGAAGTCTTTATTTCTCCTTTACCTTTGAAGGATAATTTTACAAAGTACAGAATTCTGGGTTGGGTTCATTTCTCTCACACTTTAAATATTTTAATTCAGTGTCTTCTTGCTTGCGTGGTTTCTGAGAATTCAGTCTATAAATAAGATTTTCTTTTTCTCTAGCTTTCTTTTTTTTCAGAATTTTTTCTTTATCTTTGATTTCCTGCCATTTCAAGATGTTATTCCTTTCTATACATTTTTAGGATTTATCCTACTTGGTATTATCTGAGTTTCTTGGATCTATGATTTGGTATCAAACATTAATTTGGGAATATTTCCAGTTATTATTGTTTGAAATAGTTCTTCTGTTCCTTTGTCTTCTTCTACTCCTTCTAGTATTACCATTACACATGTTATATCATTTATAGGCTTCTCAAAGTCCTTGGATATTCTATAATTTTTAAGTCTTTGGCTTTTTTTTTTCAGTTCTCTAAAATTCTATTGAGATATTCCCTAACTCAGAGATTCTTTCCTCAGTTGTGCTCAATCTACTAATAAATCCATCAGAGACATTTTTAAATTTCTGTTAGTGTTTTTGATCTCTAGAATTTTTAAAATTTTTCTTAGGATTTCCTTTTCTCTTCTTACATAGCCAATCTTTCATGTTGTCTACTTTATCCATTAGAGCCCTTAACATATTAATGATAGTTGTTTAAAATTCCTGATCTGATAATTCCAACATCCCTGTCTTGTCTGGCTCTAATACTTATTCTCTCTTCAAATATTTTTTTGCATTTTATTATGCCTTATAATTTTTTTCTCAGTTCCCACATATGATGTACTGGGGGTAAAAGGAACTGCTGTAAATTGGTCCTTAGTAATATGGTAGTAAGGTGTAGAGGTAGAGGAAGCTTTCCTTAGTCTTATAATCAGGTCTCAGTTGTTTACTGAGCCCATGCCTCTGGACTGTGAACCTCACAAGGATTTCTCAGTCTTGTTTTGTTTTTCTGCACTGGTGGTACTGAATGGCTACAGTGGGATTCAGGTAGTTGTTTCTCTCTCCTAGGTTAGTTAGACTCCCATATTACCACAGTAATGTAGGCTGGGGTTAGCCAATTCCCCTTCAGAGCAGGTGGTGCTAAGAAGTATCTGGGGTATTACAAAATGGTTACCCTTCTCTTTTTCCTGTCAGAAGCAGGAGAGAAGTTTCTTCCAATGTTCACTGTGGGCATCTGGTTAAGTTCCTAGGGAAGACAAATCTCAGAATAATGTGTCCCCCTTCTTTTCTTCCCTGCTTTGAATAGATTCCCCTGGAGTTTTTAAGCTCAGATTTGTCCAGATTGAGCATCCAGCAATTTGTCAATTGCAGTTCAGTTTTCCCTTCCCTGGTACTGGTTCCTGGGTGGTTCTACTCCTGAGTCTCTGGTCTGGTCAGCTCAGCCCACTCTGTTTGCCTGCCTGTCTCTCCAACCTTGTGGTCAGCAGGTGTGTCATGTCTGCCCCTTTCTTAAGTATCCAGAAAAAAGTCGTTGATTTTTTTAGTCTGTTCAGCTTTCTGTTTGTTAGGATGGGTTCTTTACATGGAATATCTGAAAACAGAGATCCTATTTTTGTTTTTTAACTAAAATGGGAACCTATTAAATTGAAAATTCTGCAACTTGAATTTTTTCGATTATATTATAAACCTATTTCTTGTTAAATATTCTTTGATGGAATTTTTATTAGTGGCATTACATATTTTTATCTGGTCTCTCATTACTCAGACTGTTTCTAATTTTCTGTGTAATAAACTGTGCTCCTGTGAACACTCACAGAGATAAATCATCCTGTACATCCATGATTATGTCCTTAGGGTAAAATAAAACAGCTCGTCTTAATCTAACAGCACAGAGAAATAATCAGAAAACATCCTACATAGTTCCATGGTGGGATAATTTACAGCTCTTTCTTTTAAGGTATATTAAATACAATCCATTTCTTTGTTCTTTCATCAATTCACAAAATGATTGTGCAAGTTCTATAACCTTTCATTGTTTTGGGGCGTGAGTGAGAGAGAGAGGAAAAGAGAGACACAAGAGACAGAGAGAAGGAGACATTTTATAGAAGTGTTTTAAATTGGTAGAGAAATAGAGGCTGTTTTTAAATTTCATGTCAAGCAAGACTATTACTAAGAGAAATCTGCAATTCCCAGGTGCTTTTGTGCCTTTATTCTGCAGCTTTCATAAGGTAGGGGGAAAAAAACTCTCCTTCTTAGATGTGCCACAGGGACAGCTTCTCTCCAGAGGGCATCTCTTCTGTTACTCTGCTTTCCTGATAGAATTACCTATATGAAACTGGTGGCTTCACTTTTCTTGGGTACGATCAGACCAAATTCTAGCTATTTTCATGTATATTGTCTTTGGCTCTTCTTCCTTTTTGTCCTGCCAATGTCCCTTAGCCAAAGATCACTAGGAACACACCTGTACTTTAACTACTTGTTTTTTGTTTTTGTTTGTTTGTTTGCCATTTGTAATTAATAGATAGCACCATGGAGAACCATAGAGTGTCTCAGTAACAGGGTATTAAAAAAGACTTACTGCAGGATTTAGGCTTGTGTTAAGAGATTTGTAGGAGGATTCAAGGAAGCATGGCTGTCATTTGGTTATGTCAAAAAGCAGGTGTGATTTCATGATTTGGTACAGTCATGATTCCTATCAAGAAGCAAGTGACCCACTATCGCAGCATGCTTGGGACTGAGGGGATTTCCTGGGACACAGCATTTTCAGTGTCCAAGCCAGGAAAATTTCAGGCAAACTGGGAGGAGTTTGTTACCCTGTCCAGAAGGCAAGAGAAGTGAAAAGACACTGAGGCTGGAACTGATGAAGAAGCAATATCACTCACAGGAGCCAGAACTTGTAGTAACTGGTCATGTTTGTGGTTTGGTCAATATCCACGTTGTTGCCTAGATTCAGACATGATTGCACAGTGGTCTTATCTCTAACGTGGTCCATCATTGTGACAGAGTGGCTTTGTCTGATGTTGATATTGCTCTTAGCAACATCAAGTCTTTTGCGCAGTGTCTGGCCAGTTTCTAGCTATCAAGGTCTTCCTTCTTTCTTCCAAGTCCCTTTTTTGGAAATTTGAGGCATACTTTTGGGTTTGGCCTGAGATATTGCAGATGTGATCTAGTTGTTACAGCCTCGGTTTCAGCCACACTGGGTCTATCCCCTAACGATGCTTTGGGCTTTGAAACATTGAGTAATAAAAATAGTATTATCTATCTTAAACACACTTTTTCCCTTCAATATAGAAAGGTGTTTCAATGATTAAAACAAAATGATAAATTACTAAATGTTACAATTTTAAAAAATCAGATACGGTTTTTCCTTCTCTGAGATTCAAAATTCACATTAGCATGTTTCAGTATTGTAATAAAACTGCCATAAAGGTAACTTATTTGATATAGAACACTTTTTCCCCCACAGAACACATTAACATTTTGATGAATACTAATAGTTCCCTATTAAACTAATGTTTCTACTAGTTTATTTAGTGAATGTCTCCTAGTTAAGCATTTTGTTTTTAAAAACTGGAAATATATGTGAAAATAATTGTTCTGATTTAAATTGTTCCACCTTAAAATAAAATAAATTTTAATTACAGTCATTGAAAATGACTGTAATTAAGTTATATATTTTCAGAATTGCTGTTTCAATAGTAAGAAAATACTAAATGACAGTTTGATATTTGTGGGGCAAACCTTTAACTAGTACATGAACATATTAGGTAATTACTCTAGTTTAGTCACAAGGTTACACCACCAGTTAAATTGTGGAGCATTATTTTAGTTATTAACTTTGGTTCTTAAATTCAGTTTGGTTGTTCTGAATACTAATTAAATTGATTGTTCAGCACATAGCCTTTATAACAATGGAGGAAATAAAATGGCCTTAGCTGTATGATAACCTACATTCATGCACTTTTCTCTAGGTTCTAACGACTACCTTGAGGTCAACATTGCAACAGATGTAAAAGTGAAACATTCTGGGAAAGTAGGTGAGAGGAATGTAATTGAAGAATTATCAGAAGTTTCAAAAAGCAGTCCACCACTGGCTATGGTGCTTCCCACTGAAATTCCCTGTGAGGTCAGTAAAGATGCCTTATTATTTATGTGGCCCTATTGCTTTTATGGGTATTGCACAAATTCCAAAATAACTGGTGTTTTTGTCTACTTTGTTCATGGTTGTGTCCTCAGAACCCAAAACAAGCCTTGTGATTAGTAGGCTTTTGATTCATATTTGTTGAATAATTGACTATTGGAGAATATCTGAAAGCTTAATATTATCAGCTGCGGCAAACAGATTTACAGTTGCTACATATATCAAGCTACTTAAAAAAGAGTATTGGGATTCTATTAACCAGATCAAAGATTTTATTTCATAAAAGGAAACGTATTCTTTAATAGAATTTGAAAATACTTATTTTTCAGGATGATCAATATTTCAATTATATAAACATGTATCTAAGGCTTATGTTATCAAGGGAAATAAATCAAAGAGCTAGAAGAGCTGCCCTTTTGGTAATAGAAGTATAATGGAAGGGCAAGGCAGATTTCTGAAGGTGAATATATTAATACATGTTGCTGACATTTTCCCTCTTGTCTTCTTTGGAATGAAAAACTGGAATAAGCCAAAAACTGAAATAAGCCTCTGGGCAGAACTTGAGTTGAATCCCAGGCTATGTAATCTTTAGACAATGAAAGAATGCTGGCTCACAGTGTCTGTGTCTTTGAGTGGGAGGAGCCAAAGACACCGGAGAGCCTTGGGAGTTGCCAGCAAGGGCCCTTCAAGTACAAGCCAGCGGATTTCTGTGACTGGATGACAGGGACTGCATTGTCTGCTTGCTGGGCAATGCGTTCTGGGAGAGACCCCCCTGGATGTGCTGGGACCAGCAGTCCAGGGGGCAGCTACACATTCTGTGTAGTTGGGCAACAGTTAATTCCCTCACCCCAGACTGCATCCCTATGCAGAAAACCACAGTTTTAAACTATTATTCTTATTATTCTGTCAGTTGCAGAGGAACAAAAACTTATCTGACGGTACCTTAGAGACCCCAGGAACTGAACTGTACAGGTTCAAGGAAACTGGCACAGATAGGCCAAGAAAAACTACAACCCACTTAAAATACTCAAAAACTCAACGGAGAATACTCAGGCTAAACAATCAGAACCGCTGGCTACTACTGAGTCAGAAATAAGGGAAGAGAGAGAAATAAGTAGAAAAGACTGTATGTAATAAAAGACAAATGAGAACTGTTCTCAAGTAGATAAAATCAAAGAAGAAAAAACAGGAAGAAAGAGAAAGAAAGGAAAGAAAGAAAGAAAGAAAGAAAGAAAGAAAGAAAGAAAGAAAGAAAGAAAGAAAGGAAGGAAGGAAGGAAGAAAGAAAGGAAGGAAGAAAGGAAGGAAGGAAGGAAAACCCTATGGAACTAAAAATAGCTCACTAAGAATTATGAAATAAGTCTAAATAGCTGTTTTTAGAAACACCTGTAACAGTAAAATTTGAATAATATAAAACCTTTCCAAAATTAAATTTGCAGAGAAATTAAAATCCAAAAATTAAACCCCACTGGCCTTCAGGCAGAGATGGCTGGTTAGGATCAGGGTTTTTCCAAGGGCAGAATCGTGGGCTGTTTTTAATTTAGATAGAAAGGATTCTTCCAAAGCCTCTAAAGTTAAATTATTTCATTTTCAGCTTTCTCTTGCATACCCAACTTATCAAGCAACCCTGAGTTGAAAGGTCATAAAGAAATAATGTAGCACCAGCTTTGTACCCTAAAAATTCAAAATAAGCTAATCTGTGGACCAAAATAGTTATCCCAGTCAAAATCTTGTATTCTCAGAACCTCGATTATAGCACAGTTTGAATCCATATGACAATTGCCAAGGACCGCAAGAGAGATCACTTGTATCAAAATAAATGAAACTCATGTTTCAGATCTTCCAGGTAACATTCTGTCTGTACCTGTTGTCTGAAAGCACAACCTTTGAACTTACTCATTTCTCCAAAGTCTTAAAATTAATGGGTGAATAGAGACCCCTTAAGAATATTGCTTTCTCTCCCAGAAGGTTATGTTTGATTCCCTGCCATCTAACAAGATCTAGAAATTTACCATACTATTATTGCCAATCACCAGGACTTACTTGAGATAGAACTCTTCCACACCCAGCATCTTCAAAATCTACTAATTTCTCTGTGTACTTTTGTGTTTCCAGCACGCCAGCATTGACTTGAGTATGAGTTCTACGTAGTGGCATATCTTTTATCATTCTGATGAAGAGGGAGTTAATTGGAATCTGTCCTGCTGCTGCCTCTTGCTGGGGACCTGCCTGCTAGGGAAGTGCTCTCCCTCTTCCTTTGTCTATTCTGGAGAATCAGCTTCAGTGGGTTGTTTCACTGAGGCAGCTGGTGATGCTGCTGCTGCTGCTTTTGCGCGTAGGATCCCGGAACTATTGTTCCCTCAGCCTCACCATCTTTACCAGCCTTGCTCCTTTCAGTGGATTGTTTTCTTGCCTGGGCCTTGAAAATTTTGTGCCACTTTAAAAACAGCATAAAATATTTTTCCTTCAACTTTTTTTTATGCATTGGTGAAGATGTTCCTCTCATGCTCTATTTATTTAAATTATTCCCTGTCTCTTTGAGAAATACCTAAGTTAATTTTGGCCTCTTCCTTTACTTTTTTCAGGATTAGCATTCTTCTTCTATTTTGTATTTTTAAATTTTTTTTAATAGGCCAAGGCAATTATTTTTCTAATATTTTTTTTTATTTTGTCTTGTGGGGTAATTGATTATGGGAGATACAAAGTCAGTGAGTTCTGGGTGCCCAATGCATCCATTATTTAAATGAATCTTATCTAATCTTATACCTATAACCAAAAATCTACCTGGGAGTCATTCTCCCACTGGAGCAGCATCTAAACCAGAACTGGACCTAGTCTATTATTTGCTAGTTTCTCTTCCCTATGTTCTGTGTTACTTTAAAGTCTTAATCTCATTAATTTTTCTGGCAAATTCCCTCAGAACAATGATTTTCATCTGGGAGTGATCTTCATCTGGGAGAGCAGCCCCTCCCCACAGAGGATGTTTGACAAAGTGTGCAGTGAGTTTTGGTTGTCATAACTGGGGGGCTACTATGGGCATCTAGTGGGTAGAAGTCAGATATGTTGCTAAATAATTTATAATGCACAGGGCAGTCCCCACAACAGTGACTTCTCTGGTCCCAAAATGTCAATAATGCCAAGGTTAAATCCTGTCTCAGAAGATAAGAAATACAGTCCTGGCTTACGGTAGTAAACCACCTCCAGATCACTTAATAATGGCATCAGTAATTCCGTGCTTCCCTTCAAAGACTTCTCTTCCATTGTGTTCTCTGTTGTTGTTGTTCTCTAATCACTTGTTAGAGCTGTGTAATCTGTAAGCAGTTATGCTATTCACTCTTTCTGAGGGGAGAGTGTGGGATGGGGTACCAAATTACTTTGTATGAAGGAATTGTACAACTGAAAGAACATAAGTACACGATTTGGTACAACTTATACAAAAGATAAAGGAAACCCCAACATGCATGTATTGTAGTGACCAGTGAAGTCACCTGTGGCAATAGAAAGCCAGCCTGAGGCTTACCTGTCATCTCTGTCTCCCAGGGGATGCTTGTCAAAGGGTTACTTTGCCCCTCGAGACTCAGGACGCCCACCTTGTGTGTGCGTTGGTGGGAGAGTAGAGCACAGCTGCCTTCCAGTCACTGTTTTTATGGATTATACCTGAAGCTTTAAGAAGGAGCCTCTAAAACTCTTCTGCAGTGGGTCTGCTCAGAAGTACTGTAGTTTGCTCTCTGTGGTCTCCTGCCTCTCCTGTTATTTCTGTGAGCCCCGATCCCAGGTCCAGTCATGGCTTCTATATTTCTTTTGCAGTAGCACCATCCTAAAGAGCAGTTGAAAGTGAGCTTATTTTCTTTGTTTTATCTTTGTAGGTAGGCCTTCAATTTATTACTTTCCTTTTTTATTGATAGAATTTGTTCACTGCAATCTTAGCTCTCTCCCTCTCAAATCTCTTACTTCCTTTAGTATAATTAACCAATATTCTTTCAGTGTTATGCTGTTCTCCCAGTGCTGCTGTTCTGATGATAGGACTTGAAGCATATTTTTAAAACTAGTTCAGTCATTTGATTTCTTGAGCAAATTTAGTTCTTAAAGGTATGATATAACTGCTAAAGGCCTTTTAAGCATCATCATCGGCATTTAGATATATATTAATTTCATTTAATTGTCTTTCTGTCTGAATCCTAGAACATGGCATATTCACTAATAAAGACCTTTATTTCATTTGACCTGTTCATTGACATACCGCTGTGTCTGCTCCATAATATGTCTCCAAACCTATAGTACAGACCACAGATTATGTAATTTACAAATCTAGAGAAACCCTGAGCCTATTTAAATGGATATGACTCATAAGGGCCTGTGGAAAAGCCCCAAACATCTCAGAGGTTACCTCCTTCCTATTTATCCGTTGGCCATAAATCCAGAGTAAAACAATACACAGAAGCTAACTGCACTGCCCACTTATTTCTGATACCAAATTACACACTGGTTCATGGTAATCATCCTTAACCTAAAGTCTGATCCTGTGATTAAATTAAAAACATACAGTAAAAGTAGCAAAAAATTATTATGTGTATCAATGCCAAAAATATCTATCTTGTAAAGTGCTGCCCCTTTGGTGTTAAAGTTTTATAATGACCAATAGATGTATATTACCTTTAACCAAGTGGTTCTCAAACTAAGATGCATATAGGGACTACAAGTGGAAGTTTAAAAAAGTAATACCTGAATTTTATACCCAGTAACTCAAATATAAATGGTCTGGATTATGGACCGGACATTGGGAGTTTCGGAATCTTCCCAGGTGCTTCTGAAGGAAAGAATTAGCATCCCAGTTTGGAACTATCACCATAACCTAATCTTTGCTCTGCTGTCAAGGGTCAGATGCACGACAGCTACAGCAACATGCACATTCCTGATGTAATAAGGCCCATGCATCTGTGCTCAGTAAGCCAGTGTCTATTAAAGTAGTCATGAAATTAAAAAAAG